AATCATCGAGTCGCTTTAAAATTCCTCTCCTCTCCGCACGATCACGTCTGGTTTACCTTCTTCAGCCTGATCTTCTCGCGTGGCTAATCACGTTCAGGTGTATTTTTTAAATACCGCGTCCAAGGATGCGTCTTCGTTGCAGCCTGCGCAATCGAAGTTTAGAGTTCACGGTGCTCGTTCACAGCATCGTCCGAGAGAAATCGAACACTATAGCGATGATCACCGATCGAGGATCTTCGTGTAAAATGCGCGATGTTAACCGGCAAGAATGATCGAGACTCGGGACCGTGGTTCGAATCGATCAACAGTCACGACTCGACTGACTCACGCTGGCCTCGGTTGTGCTCTGTTGTATTTACCGGATTTCTCTCCACCACTTCCCCGTACGACGATCATCCGGGTCGTGTACGAAAGCAATGCTATACAGGTCGCATCGCGGACCTCGCGATACACTATCTCTAGCCACTAATCAATTTGAGTCACTTTGGATTTTACGGGGTGTCTCCGTTGATGTAAGTAACACGTTTGGATGGGATTAGCCGAGTGTCAAATATTGGCATTGGTATAATTTAGATTTTTTTTTAGCGTGGACAATTAATTGCACTAATTAGAATTGCCTAATTTGAATATTATCTTCAGTCATTTTTTGTAATAAGAATATTGTCTATTTTCGTCCAAATTCTTTTTTATTTATTTGAGTAATTTTTGATGATGTGGGTGGAAAGAATAAGCAGGACTGGATTAAGATTTCTGGGGCCCGGGGCTGTTAAACTTTTAAGAGCCCCATTGAAATTTTTGCTCTTTCAATGGTAAAATTGAAATTTATTCTAAAATGAAATAACATTTAATTACTCAATGGAAGGATTATAATGGCTCCCCTTTAAACCTTCCTCTAGCCCTGGGAACAGACCCCCCTCGGACCCTTGCTTAATTGATTAATAATAATATTTAGAGCAGATTATAAATGACCAAATATGGTTTGTCTGCAGAGGAAAATTCGCGTGAAACATTGATCAATGGGTTTTCCGGCTTCCAGGGTTTCAAGAACCAAAAGATTTGTGGATCATTGTTTGACTTGTAGTCGGATATCGGTAACTTCCGGCGAAACACATCGGATGTTTGTTTTTTCAACGTTTAACTTTTTTACCGATTTTCAAGCACCGTTGACAAGTGGATTGCATGTAACATCTGCTGAATGATGATACATATTCCTTTAGTGGATAACGAGGAAGGGTAGGAAGACGAATTGCGGGTTTTCCCGGTCTTAAGACAAGGGGTCAACGATGTGCAATTAATTTCTTAATTGTAAATTTACTTCGCACTTGGAATTCCTTGATTACGATTACATTTTATCGAGACACATACGCGTATTTTGCATGCATTCATTGCGACGGTGAAAACGATCACGTATGATGTAATACATTATAATGATCACTGAAAAAACAGTGACTCATTTTGTAATCAATTATTGTCAAAATAATTGATAATTATTGTCAAATAATTCTTGAGCAAATGTAAATCATTTCTCCGAATGAAATATTTGGTTAATAATAAAGATATTGAAGAACAGATTTCAGTTGGAGCCAATGGGTTTTCCCTTTGGATTTAGGATCAAGGAATACCTAATCACAGAAGTGATTCTATGGAATTCAAATGAATTTTCAATTTCTATTCAATCCCTGCTACGTTGTTCAAAATAATTAGAGAATTAATTGAAATAATTGAAACATTATTAATGACTGAATTTCGATTAATAAATTCTCGGAATCAATCACTGTTTGAGTTTGATAGATACAGTATCAGCTACTTCTAAGGTATAGATACAAGTTGTTTGTAATAGTTGACGCATTCGACAAGAACAGTAAGAATCTAGGTTTTCCCAAGGGTGGCTGTTGGGAGAAGGGTTTAAGGAGGAATTGCACTATCATCCAGTAACGACGAATAAATTCCTGAGCTGCACACTCATGTTACTATAAATTTATCAGATAACATCTACTGAATTGAAGAGGGATTTGTTTGAACAATGACATATCTAAAAAACCACTTAACTTTGAGGATGAATGAATTTCTTAGAACGATGCATTTCGAAAATTTTTATTTTTGCTGACGAATCGAATTTGAACCTTGTATAGTAGTGATGCAAACTTACGAAATTGAATTAAAATAAATGAAACTGATTCAAATATTTTACAATGACACTGTTGCAATAGTTTCATAGGATAAAAATAGAATTGCACTTTGTGAACATATGGCTCTAGGCATCGAAATAAAAAAGTAAAAAGGGAACTGATGGCAGAAAGATAAACATTATTGTAGCATTTAACACACTCCAGCCCAGGACCGGATTAAGATTTCTAGGGCCTTTGGTTCAAAAATTCAAATTAATTCTAAACCACAATTCTATACCACAATATTTTTTGAAATAGTAAATGGAAGGCTTGGAAACTCCTTGGAAAATGGGACCGAGCTCTACAAACCCTTTGAGGACACCCTTGGATGATAATCTTAATTCAAAAATTGAAATTAATTTTAAATGAAATAATATTTAATCGTGAAGAAAATAGACAACAATATTTTTTGAAATAGTAAATGAAAGATTTAGAAGGAAGCCCCTTGGAAAATGGGACCCAGAATTATAGCCCCCCTTGATCCGGCGCTAAGTCAGCCCCGTAAAAGTTCCCTATCTTCATCAAACATAGAACATGCCATAATTGCAAACGTTCGATAAACCTGCAATATTAATTCATTCTGGACACAATGATCAAGTCATCCTCAAACAGAACGTTCAGTCCAGTCACCGTGTAATAAAAGTGATAAGGATCAACGGTGGCCGAATAAAGATCCTGCTGACAATGTAGGTATAAATGGAAAATCGATTAATCACCTGCTTTCCATAAAACTGTGTGGTCTATTGCTAACGACAAGTATGCAAATGAATATATTTCCAGCATTGTTTCCTTGAATTTCAAGAATTTCGAATCTCGATTTTTCTTTTGTTTTATTGGAATTTAAACGTTTATTTTAAAGCGTCGGATCGACGAACATCCAATTGAATTTTAAAACAGTGGCTTTGTAATATTTCGTCTTTCAGAGAAACCTAGACGAGGAAAATTATTTTTGAGAATTGAATATGGAACGATCGTTATTGTTTGCTCTTATGCTGTTTATTTTTTAATTATTATAGAGTTATATTTTAATGGGAAATTCTGGTGTATGGGTTACAAACCAGAGAAGAATGCGATCACTTTTGCAGAAGGAAACAAAATGATGTACTACATATGGACAAACGATCGATGACGCAAAAGGAAAACCATTACATCGCTAGGATAAAAGGCGTTCAACTCATGCAAATGAGTTGTTAATACCAATCTATCGCTTACATTACTTTGCATTTTCATCCAAACAAACACTTGGGAATACCGAATTGCATTATTGTTACAGAATACATGATGACTAGCCAGTGTCATACTCTATATGAAAACATTTCGTTCTTCATTCGGAATCTTATCCATCAAAGTAGAATAATTTTAAATAATTCTTTGTGGCAGAATAACAATAGGGAATTTTAATAATTTATTCATGATGCGTAGGCGAAATGAATTGAAACCATTGCCGAATGTTATTTCGAAGATATTTGGGTCATTGAACAATTTCAGCATCGATATTTTGATTATCAAAATAATCTATAATTAAATCATTAATCATTGCCAAATATTGTTCTGAAATATTTGGGTCATTAAGAAATTTCAGTTCTAGTATTTAAAATTAATTTAGAAGTTTATATTCTAAAAATAATACATTAAATTTTATATATCATGAACAATTAGATAGACTTCGTCTAGTTTTGGAGAGAATTATTAAATATAAGTGAAGAAACTAACAGAATTTGGAAAAAAAGCTAACAATAAATTTCCCCCTCCTTACTTTTGTTCTGGAAAGATGCGTACGCCATCGATCCGTGTACTGATTGACGTTTCCCAGGGGGCACCTTTATAACCTCGCTTAGATCTACCCCCACCACGTATCCCTCTGGAGTGGGGGTAAAAGTCTATATATAAACACTATCAACTGCAGTGTGAAGTAATCTGCAAATTGAGAGCGGGGAGGGGGGGCTTCGCTCATGTAAACGAAAAATTATTAAACAATTATTAATAAATTTCATTTTTAAATGTCTAATATTTCAGTTATTGTTACCGTTAGTTTATTATCCGAACATTTAATGTTATTTCCGCAATTTCAGTTTCATCATCATCCTTTTTAACAACAAGAAAGGAAGATTTTGAGAGAAATTGAACGATGATGCAAGACTTAAAAATAAAAAAAGATTTTTGGATATATTAATGATATTATATCGAATTATATTAGCAAAATTGTTATCTGCTTTTGATAACATATCAGCAGAAATGATTAGGTTTTGAAATAGAAAAGATAGGCTCAAAAATAAAATAAAAAATATGGCACCTTAATTGCGTTGTTATCCAAACTAAATATTAAGTAAAATTGTTACATTTTAACGAAAAAATTATTTCTGAATACTGCAGAAAACTTGTGGTTGATTTTCAAGTATACTTCCACCGCTTGCAACTATCTTCACAGTGCTCCTTTTCATTCTTTTCATGAATGTGTGCCTTTAGGTCCGATAAATATACCACACTCTCGAATTTATTGATTTCTGCAGCCGTGACACGATTGGACGAGGCGTTGTGCGTAGTGTTCCACAAAAGAATCGACCAATGAGCGTTCACCTTTTGTATGTGTTGCCTGCGACGTGTATATTTAGAAGCGGAAACAGTGCTCAGTCTCCCATTTCCGTCTTCCCAGTGCCTGCCTGCCATTGCCGCTCTGCTTGCCGGGTCTTGCAGGGTAAGTTCATCTGGATATTCTTGCTTCTCGATTACAAGAATCTTTTCGTCATTTTCCACAGAATTATTATGCAAAAGGTTCATTTGCTCACACATTCGTTATAAATAGTTTCTTTAACGGGATATTCTTGATTACAGGTGTAACTGGTACATCTGACATAGTTTCTCGAAAAAACTGAAGTTCGTTCCTGCATAACGGTTATTGTGTCAGCAGATTTTTCCGAATATTCATCAAGATGTATAACAACAGTTATTCCAATCATACCAGGTACGTTGCATTAATTTGTACCGTTTAAATTTTTAATATGTTAAGATGAAAAGCTGTTAGCTGATGAAATGGGAGAAACTTTTTTCATACATCATCATATCCGCCATTTTGTTCGTAAATCTTCTCCACTGCAGATATTGGATCATTTTATGCTTCTGATTAAAGATTCGCTATTCGATAAAGAATGAAGATTTTATAATGTTTTACTACTTTTAAATCTAATAAAATATAATTTATCTGCTTTTTAAATAAATGAAATACAAATATCTCTGAACGGAATTAGAGACACGTAAAAAAAGCAAAATGGCGAAGCGATTATCCAATGGAAAGTTACTGACAGACCTAAAAATTGAAGCCTTAACATTATTTAACTACTTCAAATGATGTTGATTATTTTGATATTTTGCTGATAAATATATGGAATATTGTTTTATTATTTATACCGTATATATTATTAACAAGAATAATTCAATAAATGCATATATGTATAGAGTGTGAGGGGAGGGGGAGTGTATGTGTATGTGGGAGAAGGGTGTGTACATGAGTACATGTATGAGTGTATAGTGTATACTTATGTATGCTTGCAGGTATGTACGTATATGATTGCTATCCTTTCCAACTTATTTAATCTTAGAATATAAGAACATTTCATTAATTGTAAACGATTTTAATGCTAACATTAATCATTTCTATTCAAATTTAAAATGTTCCTCAGAGGAAGAGCATTTTTATCATTGTCATACTAATTATTTTTGTACTCCTAATTAAGTATAACACTTTAATATTTTATTGTAATATTGTTTCTTTAATAAATATGTTGATTTGATTTTATAGTAATGAATGTTTGTATGCTGACAGTTTGTCAACAGCATTTTCTGAAAACAGTTACAGACCTAGGGGGAACAGAGACTCTAACAGTCGTAATGGGAGTGGAACATTCTGGAATAGTCAACAACACACACAGAAGGAGAAGACGCTTAAGAAGCAAGCTCAGAGGAGAACACCTGGAGATTCATTGAAGAAGCCTAGTTGGGATTTAGCCAAATTACCCGTGATCGCTAAGAATTTATATATCCCACATATCAACGTCCTGAAACGTTCGATCGATGAGGTCACCAAATATCACATTGGCAAAGAAATCACAGTAAAAGGAAATAACACCCCGTCTCCGATTCAAGCATTCGAAGAAAGTAACTTCCCGGATTACGTAATGAAAGAAATTAGAAAACAAGGATTTGCTGAACCAACTGCTATTCAAGCACAGGGTTGGCCAATTGCGCTTAGTGGACGTGATTTAGTTGGAATTGCTCAAACAGGATCTGGAAAAACGTTAGCTGTACGTATTTAAGTTCATTATAATTTATACAATAAATATCCTTTTTTAGAAGAAGAAATAATATATGTTCTGAATACTTTTCAGTATATTTTACCAGCGACGGTACACATCAATAGTCAACCACAATTGAGCCGAGGAGACGGTCCGATTGTTTTAATTCTTGCTCCAACGAGGGAGTTGGCTCAGCAAATTCAATCCGTCGCCAGGGACTTCGGATCATCTTCGTGTATCCGTAATACTTGTATCTTCGGTGGTTCTCCAAAAGGGCCTCAGGCTCGCGACTTAGAACGTGGCGTTGAAATATGCATCGCCACTCCCGGCAGACTGATCGATTTTCTCGAGAAGGGAACGACGAATCTGCGCAGGTGCACGTACCTTGTACTCGATGAGGCGGATAGAATGTTGGACATGGGATTCGAGCCGCAGATTCGTAAAATCATCGAACAAATAAGACCCGACAGGCAGGTGCTAATGTGGTCCGCAACGTGGCCCAAGGAAGTGCAGGCTCTAGCTGAAGACTTTCTGACAGACTACATTCAGATAAACATTGGTTCTCTGACATTGGCTGCTAACCACAACATACGTCAGATAATCGAGATTTGCCAGGAACACGAGAAGGAATCGAAGCTTTCGGGTTTGCTACGAGAAATTGGCAAAGACCGAGGAGGCAAAATGATCATTTTCGTTGAAACGAAGAAGAAAGTAGACGACATAACTAAAGCTATTAAACGGGAGGGTTGGTCGGCCATCTCTATTCACGGCGATAAGTCTCAACCTGAAAGGGATTACGTTCTGTCCGAGTTCAGGAACGGAAAAACGATGATACTTGTCGCTACCGACGTGGCTGCTCGCGGTTTGGACGTGGAGGACGTGAAATACGTGATCAACTTCGATTACCCTAACAGCTCTGAGGATTACATTCACAGAATAGGAAGGACCGGACGTTGTCAAAGTGCTGGCACCGCGTATGCGTACTTCACACCTAACAACGCAAGACAAGCGAAAGAATTGATCTCAGTTCTAGAGGAAGCTGGCCAAGTGATAAACCCGCAATTAGCAGATCTGGCAAACTCGATGAAGAATTCCTACGGCAAGGGTCGCCAACGCTGGAGTCACTCTCGCTCCAACAAAGATAACAATCCTGGAAGCCCGCGAAACAATAGTAGCCCGACGAATAATTGGCAAAATCAACATTCTCAAAGTATTCAACACAACGGCGTTAACGGCCAAGAAAGAACCGTTGCGCGCCAACAGAATGGATACCAGAACAGTCGTCAGAATAGTTTTCAGCCTAACTACCAACAACAGCAGCAGCAGCAACAACAACAGCAGCAACAACAGCAACACCAGAGACAGCCTAATGCTTATACCACCAGTTGTCAGACTAGTAGCAGCTACCAAACTGGTTATCAGAATGCAAATATACCTAGATACCACGGGAGGACGGGAAGTTTTCAAGGGAACCGTTACCACAACCGTCAGAACACCTACAGTACCAACCAAACAGCTGGGGGACAGAACGTATACTCTATGCCACCTCCGTTCATGATGCCATCCGGTGGTCATACCGACTCTGGGATGCAAAGCCTTGTTAATAACAAATTCTTCCAGACAAATCGGCCACCGCCAAACACTGGAGCCTGCGCTTATCAATCGATGGGATACGGTCAGTTCCAAGCTGTGCCACCGTATAGTTACCCTTATCCGCCCACTCCAGTGCAGCAGTGACGCTTTTCAAAGAATAAGTCGGTAAGAGTGCAGGCTAAATAAGAGATCGAATTTTTTCTTTTTCTCCTGTCTAATATCGGACCCATTTAATATTTACGGTTTGTGTAGAGGATACAATTGGGTCTCCCTTTGAATATATACGTAACGTAATGTTTCTTCTTTTCTTTGTCGTTTATTATTTTCTGGAATGGTGCCGGTTCGACGGTTGGTATATACAGAACAAAATCGTTTGAGTTTATTCGTTCGTTGAACAAACACGAGTGACGGAGATGTCGGAAATGGTGTGTAGTATCGTTTTGCATCGGTCAAGCCAAGTACAATATTTCATTATTCGTTCTATAGGAAATGAAACAAAACCGAAAAAAAAAAAGGAAAAAAAAAACATGAAATTGATTGTTGCGCATTATTAAATCTTCGAGGCACATTCCAGTCGAGTTTTTTGAAGTAGTGGTAGTTGTTTAGCAATGATACATTGATATAATCGTTACTGGATGTAGAGTATGACCAGAAATGTAGGCTTTTAATAACCATAATTGGTCGTATCCCTAAGGAAACACACGTACACACACAACCACACATAAGTGAATACACAAAGCAAACTAATTAATCTTTTTGCGATAACTATGTAAACGTCATTTAATGCTTTTCGAAATGCACGAAACGTATAGAAGGGGGGTGGGTTAAACGTTTTCATATTTGATAATTTATTTATATTTTGCATATATATATATATATACACACACATACGTATGTACAGGCAACGCTCTTCAAAATGTAAGGCCTTTTGCATAAAAATTAAGCCGTACCACCCGTTTTTTATAAAAAAAAATAAAAAAAAAACAAAAGAAAAAAGAGCACACGACGTACGCCATCGTGTCGACGTCTGTTTTATAAACTGGACAGACGAAGGGTGAAAAAGGTATAATCTCATCAAAACTAGAGAACTTTGATGGAGGATATCCAGCATAATAATTATAGCGTACAAAAGAAATAAGAAAAAAAAAAAAATAAGAAGTGAACAAAGCGAAGTACTTCGAGACTATGCCGGACACGCCAAGCCGGAATCGTTTCGAACGATTCTCTTGAAGCCACCCGGGTTATGATCCCCGGGGCAGAGAGACGAGTAGAAGGGGAGAAAAACTTGGGCTCTAGGGGACAACTTAAAATTTAAGCATGTAGTCACAATGGCTGTGTACCTCGGCGCAAAGTTTGATACCTTATTTTTATAATATATATCGAAAGTAATTTGTTGTTAAACCAACGAATGATTATACGAAGAGAGAAAGAGGATAGAGCGAGAGAAAGATAACAAAAAAAAGAAGAAACGCGAGTTAATAAGAGAAACATTGTTTGATGTTTATGCAATTGGCCACTGAGTGGTCTTGTCTTTGCGCGTCCGTGTCAAAATGGGTGTATATTTTGGTGAAAACGCGCATTGCTGGCCGCGATCGAACGAATTTCAGTTCTTGTATGTACCTGCTTTTTAGTTTCGCGCTCATTAATGAAAATTCTTGCTGATTTTTGTTCTTTTTTTTTTTTTACTATATATTATTTTTCTTTTTTTTTTTCTCTTTATTAGGATAAACGATCGTCGAGATTTATCCGTGTGACATTTATCGAAATGAAAAACGTTCGAATGCGCTGCCGTGAACGTTGTGTACGAAAAAAAAAGAAAAAATAACGCGTGAGAGGAACACGAGCCAAATAATGTCATTATGGCGACGATTAATCCACGTGTTATATATATATATATATATATATATATATTATTGCGGCCATTCTAAAAGCGACTCTCGAGGGAACTTTTTCAAGCGATAGAGATTCGAACACGAAACATATATTTATATTACATATGTATTATACCGTTTAACGACAGCGCATAGCGATTATTTGCGGGCCTCCAGATTTAACTCTGTACACGTCACTTACTCGAAATGTAAAACGTATCGGCAAAAAAAAAGAAACGAAGACGCAAGAGAGATATAGAGAGAAAAAGTAAGAACCAACAGAGATGAATTTAGGTCTCGAATATTATATTTATATCGTGACTCGAGCAAGGGTTCTCCTTTTAGCGAACGCGACATTATTGTGATAATTAATACGTAACGCTTTTCGTGAAACGGTCTCACAGTTCGTTACTTAATTACGCACAGTAGAAAATGTTGTGAAGCAGTACGTGTGCACACTAATCCATTCTCGGTCGGTTTCGAACCGCGTGTCACACGCGTTTACAAGCGGATGTTGCTCGATAAGAAAAAAAGAGATATATTTGTCCAGAAACTTTGTCGATTCGTTTCTAGGTTCACGTGTGTGTGTGTGTTGTCGTAATTTTTGTATTTTCTTCTTTCGCCGAGCCCTGGATTAAATCGAACTTCAAAACGCGTGTGGATCGCGAGAGGGATAAAAAAAAAATGAGAGCAAGTGTCGTCGGATATTCGCCGATTGTCTTCGCCACTTTGATAAAACATGGTTTAAAACGCTCCTACTGTGTTGTAAATCAGACCGCGCGTTGCCGTAGCGGAGTGAATAGTTATATAAAATAATAGGAAGCGTATGCTACCGAGTATTGAACGATTCTGAATACTCATATATTGCGTACGCCCTCTATACAATCGTCTTATTGTTTCAGATCTGCATTCCAGTTCCTTTGGGATCTTCATAGAAATTCTCTCTCTGGTTAGCTTTTGTATTTGGTACAGAAAATCTTCTGGTATTCTTTTAATAATTGTTTAAATATTTCATTGAATTTCTCTTATTCTGCCGAACAGCTGACCTATTGTTCTAGTATCATATTCATTATCTTCGTTCATTTTCCTTTGCAGATAGAGGATATTTCACCGCTATTGCTGATTACTGAGGCTTTTCTGGACGCGCGAAACGTTCAGTGGTGTCGATCGATTGGAAATCACGTTCCCACGTATGGGGAATCCAGTGACTAGTTTCTGAAGGCCTTGGAATAAGATAACCCTTTGGGCTCTCTGTTTCTTCGCATCAATGACGATAAACGCATATCTGTCCTCAAGAGTGTGAATCTCTCAAGGTGGTCGTATAATTTTTAGAAATCTTTACACACACACCCAAATCGTATTCCGGCTGGGATTAACACAGAGATGAAATGGGGTGGCGAGACCCGAACGTGTTAGGGCAGCAAAGGGTTAACACAAACAGGTTCTTATATAGTTTTCTTCGTTTCGAAACGGAACCGCTTGAGTTGTCAGCAAAAAACGTGATCCTTCGTCAAAAGTGCAAGACGCCTATTGCACGTTTTCTCGAATGCCGTTGATAGCGGGGTGTACGCGTAGCTCTGTGATATGTAAAACGTAGCATATTTATAGATCTACCAATCGTGCATCATGATTAAAAAATAAGGGAAACGTATCTTATCAGTTTTATAACACGTGGTATTACGAATCATGTGATCCTAAATGACGTGTACTGCGGGAGGAGCTCGCTGTCTACTTTAAGGGGAGAGAAACGAGAGTTGTTAAAGCGAAAGATCAGTATTTTCCGTTTATTCGTTTTGTTTTTTTCTTTTTCATTTTTCGTTTTCTATATTCTGTTCGCCGCGCGAATTCGTCTTGTTGTCGTCCTCGTCGTAAAGGGGTTTCAATGAACAAAGAGAAAAAGAGGAGGAGAGGGAATCGAGAGATGATACTTGTATTTATTTTCTGCTCTTGCGTTCTTTTCTTCTGTTCCCTCGGCGTGACCGTGTTGTTCTATCATCCGTATTATACTTTCTACTTAACGTGACAAATTTTTCATTTACCCGAGCGAGTTATATAAATCCGTGTATCGCGAATCCGTTCATTTTGTACGTTTGTCTGTTTGTTAGGATGGTGTATAGTCTTCTAGTAGTTTGCGTGTTTGTTCGCTAACAAAGGAGTGTTTCAGTACTGCAATGATATGTACGAAATTGTTTTATCTAATTACTTTTTTTTTTTTTTTTCTTCTTGTACTTGTGTTAACGAACACTTGTAAATCCTACGTTCATTTACAATGGTATTTAGGTACAATCTCGTGGAGAACTGTTAAACTTAGATATATTTTTTCATGTAACAAGACTCACTGTGGTGGTGCCACAATCTCGTACTAACACAATGAAATTCATAAGTAATACCTAGGTTTTCGCACCTGGTTACTGTTACGTTTTTTTTTTCCTTTGATCGTTTAATGATCTTCTCTGAGGCATATTAAATACTCGTACTAAAGATATACTGGACTAGTGCGCGTTATGGTGTAGCCAGGTGGCTTATATGTTCTAGCGTTTATAATTTCATTATCTAATGCCGTCTTGGTTCCTAGTAAATTTTATTAATCGCTTAACGATATCCGTACCTGGTCAATTTTCTAATTCGTTCGTACTCTTTTTAACCGTTTGCAAACTTCTGCATATCTGAATACCAAAATTGCATTTCTTTTTCTACGACAATTTCCAAATATCCGTAATGTAATATAACATTAATTCATAGCGATTCGACAAATTTCCAACATCTTCTCATTCCTTCTCATTAATGCTCGACGAATTTAATGAATTTTTCGAGCCAGCCTAGTTTCCCCGTTAAAATTCTACTCTTCAATTGGTGTTTCTATGATGGCAAACATCGAATAGAGCAGGGATAGTTTTTCATGATATTCGTGACACGCCTTCCGCGTCTATTTTATCGAATGATCCAACCGAAAGCAAATCAATCTTCTTACGCTTGTATCAAGCACTGTCCATTGTACATTTCTTCTTTTTGCGTCCTGTGTCCGTTGTTTTGCCTCCGAGGAAGCGTAAAAAAAAAAAAGAAAGAAAGAAAGAAATGACGAGGGAAAATATAATGCAAATAATTGGCACAGTTCTCCGCGCTTCAGCCGAGTCAATGATTCAAAGGAAAATAAAAAGAGATATCTTCCGGTGCGTGTCGATCGTTCGCGTGCTGAGATGAAAACTTAAAAAAAAAAAAAAGAAAGAAATCGTTGACTAAATAATATTTATATAGCCTCCGGGAACCACGAGTACCTTTTTAATCATTAATGCTGAACGCTGTGATATCGCGTACATTAAACAATTTTTATTATATTATAAACGTAAAGTGTGCATATTGTAATGTTAACGAGAAAAAGAGCGAAAAAAACGAAACGATAGAGAGAGAGAGAGAAAAAAAAGATAGAGTACATATTTCTCCTTTATATGTGAAGACTGAAAAAAAAAAAAAAATAATAAAATCTCGCCAACTTATATACACTGGTTTATAGAGCAGCCGACAGAATACGTTCGTATACTGTAGACCTACAGATAGACTATTTGTACATTATTAATTATAAAACAATATGTTTTTTACGTGGGTAGTGCCGTCGCGGTTGAGACCACGGTACTATTTATGTTTCTAGTTCGATAAACAACGGGTGCGTGTTCGTATTGTGCATTTTTTATTGAGAAAACGAGAGAATGAGGATGAGAGAAAGCTTATTAAATATCTTGTTAATCCACGAGCAGAGAAATTTGCCTAGATTCTCGCGTTTCATTTCTCTTATACTTTTTCCGTTCCGAGTTGGAATTAGTCTCGCGGATCCCGTTTCCATTGTTTTCTTTTCCGCAATTTCTCGACAGATTTTCCTTCGTTTCATTTTTCGCTATTTTTCGATTCGTCCGTTTTCCCGGTCTTTCGTGCTAAAAGTAGGGTAAATTTAACAACAACCGGTTTCATATCATAGTTCCTACGTTCTTCTCGATACCGTGTGAATGAATTTGCAGCTGATCATTTTCATACGTTGACTCGATAGGTTTCTTCGTTCATTCTCCTGGCTTTTATATTTCGATGCAAATTCCGTGTATCTTTCTATGGGAATATTCCTAGATATTCATCATGGTTTATTCGGCAAATTGTGAAACAAGGTTTTCTCTCATGCCGGGTACAAATATAAGAGAAAATTCGATGTTTGGGACGGAGAAGCGAATACGACATATTGAGATTAATCTTAGGAGTGATTTAGTTTTCAACACTTTTTAATTGTTCTTCTTGTTGACTCGTAATAACGTTCCACTATTTCATTTATTTCCTTCAGTCTGCGCGATAGACACGTGGAAAAAAACGTTTTCCCTGTTTTAATGGAATACCATTCGAATCAGTTAGCGTTCCATTGTTAAGAGAGAAAAGAAAATACTGACACGATGTTGTTATCCGATTTCGTTCCTTCGTGAATTTTTATCGAACGTAGACTCGTTAGTGTATGCACGAATGTCGAACACTGCACACTGTACGACAACAAAATTTACTGTGCAAACTTTTCACGGAACTGTGCGAATTCAACTGTAACGATGCAGTTTTAACGCGATTCAGAATAATTTCTTATTTTTACGCGATTATATACATATGCGTCTCTTGAAACCGATATGGGTACATGCGTAAAGCCCTGGGCTATTTAACGTAAGAAAAAATGATACGGCGGGTACCTTTTTATTAATCCAACTTAACGTGTGCTGAGACCTTTGAATCCACAGAAATATTGTAAAAAAAAAGAGAGAGAGAGAGAGAGAGAGAGATCGTTCAATCGATGAAACTCGACACGTATCGAATCGATGAAACACACGAAATAACGTTTCGAACAATTGCGTACGAACGATTTGTAAAAGTTTCTTCTTTAGATCTGCGTACACCTGTTTCATTTTTTTCTATATTATATGATTTACGTTCAGTCATTATAAAAGCAGTTCTTTTTTTTTGTTCCTCTTCTGTACAACTTTAACCCTTTCGCTGAAGACTTCCAATTACAAACGATTAATATTGTAATTAATACTCTGACGTCCGCGCGTTTCATGGAATCTACGCGGTTCTTCAAAACTTCACGTTCCTTTTTATATCTAAAGCAAGATTGTTCATAGAATTAATACGTAAGGGTTCTTCGTAATCGACGCAGCAAAATTACCGTACGACGAATTGTAATTAACGCGTGATTAAGATAGATAGAAATAAGGTGAAGAACAATGAAATATAAAACAAATGTTATGCATCAAAGTTGTAATACCCAGCGGACGTCAAATTAATAATTAATTATTCGATCGTCGAACGATAAGCAATGATTCTAATAATATCTTATCGATTAGCTGTTAACATTAATAATCTTACTCTCGCTAACGCACGTACTTTTAAACAACCCCCGTGCGATAATCCTGAATTGTGCCTTAAAATGGCACTTGAAAAAAAAGAAAAAGAGAATATTTAAGAATGCGTACGTTTTTCATTGCTGAGAGAAATTTCCTTTTATTAGAATCTCTAGAGTCGAACGAAAGGGTTGAAGAAACAAAGCTATACCGAATATTATTATATGTATAAAATAGGAGACAGAAATGTTCCACGGGTTTTTTCCTTTACGCGATTTTTCTCAGAGAAACAATGTGCAGAACACACGAATCCGTCGTATTTCGTCCTTCTGAGAGAGCGCAATTAATATTTATATCCGAGAGTAACTTCGAACGTATTTTTCGAGTCATCGAGGTTGTATTCTAGCGACAATTCGATCTGTAAACAGGTGACTAGCTAAGCGCTTATTATCCTGTAACGATTACTTATCGACGTCGTTTCTCGTATGCTCTCGACGGCATAGAAAGAAAAACGAGGATGTTTGAAACGTTCAAGCATCGAGGGCGAAGTAACAATCGTATAGAACGGGAGATTGTGTCTCCCGAGAAAAGGGTGCTTTCCTTAAAGGAAGATCAACACAGCGGCGGTAAAAATGAATCGAGTAGAAAAAGGATGAAAGATGTTCCATCAACGTTAGGGTAGAAAACTAATAATCGATCAGTGATTACACGTAGTGTATCTGAAGTAAGAAATAATGATTTCTGTAAACGCTAATTGCTTCACCCCGAAGAAGATAATCAGGTGATCGAGAAGACCAAGTTTCCAAGTGGTTATCCCATCGCTCTGGATAAATTAAGTACCATGGTACCATAGTCTCTGACTGGAATGACTGAACGTGCCAAGGAATACCTTTCTGTTGGAGCAACATTGTTCTCATTTCCGGTGGGGAGTGTCTTCCAAATATCATTGAAAGGTGATTTGTTGAGGATCAAAGGTACGATTTGAAAATCCCATGTTGATAGGATAATTTCTTTTCACCGTCTCATCGACTATGACTTCCTTAACGAGACCATCTTTTTCAGAGACTCAGATCCCGTAGGAATTACATTGATCGTCACGGGGGAAACGCAGTTTACAGCACGGTAGACTTCCTGTTGTTGTAATAGTTCAGATTTGTTGATGGCGTTTGCTCGGAGAACGCTCGTTAGGAAGCGAATACACGAGATGGATCGCAGATGGTTAGAAAACGCTATAAAAGATGTATCGATAGTAAGAAAAAATTGCAAGAGACTCGAGGATGTCTTGCAAATGAATTTAAAATATCGGACCGCCGCTAAGTGTCGAAGGGGGGGAAAAAATATGGTGTACAATTATACAAAGGACACAAATAGGTATTCTATTGTTAAATACGGCTTCATTGATTCATCACGCCTTACAATATGAAAGAGCTCGGCCAGTTTCTCAAGAAGCAATGCAAGATTGCGAAACAACGCTCTTAGACTCTTGATAAAATCAACCGCTCCTTGGTCGTCTTTGAAATGAAAATTTTTCACCAGCGTTTGCAAAATCGTCTGAACTGCAGCACATATACGGCGTTACGCGATTCTTGTTGAATAAACGGAAAAATGTATGCGAAGAGATAGGCTTCAGAGATGCATGTACGTTCGCGTCGATGTGCCGTTTAGAATACAGTTATATCGATTCATTGCATGTATGTATACATTTAAACGTGTCTGTAGAAGGTAAAAGAAGAATATTCCGTTGGGAACGGTGCTATTCGCGCGAATAGAAGCTTTTTTAATTGCAGTCGTAAAAATGAAAATCAGAAAATTCTTATGAAGAGCAATCAAAAGAAACAATAATTAGTATCCTCTGTGTAATCTGAATTTTAAACAATACAAATCACACAGGATATTTATTGCTAAATAAAAAAATTGTTCATCGCATTAACTCTTGAACAGTGGAACCAGGGTCAATCATGACCCAAACCTGCAAAACATGTACAAGGATATTAACTTAAAGTTAAATATATTATTCTTAATATGGAAGAACAATTTTGAAGGAAAATTTTGTAAATTTTAGAGAATGAACGTAACGTGAATTGAATTAAAATTGGGGCTCTCTCCATGGTCCGCCATTCGAGAGTTAACAGAGAAACACTTTTCCCTAACGTTTCATGGTTTTAGGATTTGATTAAAATAAAAGCACCGTTTCCACGATAAACTTGGCAGTGAGTATGTTAAGGATAAAAAGTAATCTAGTCGAAATTGTTCTACTGTTGATTGTCACCCTTGATGGGTCGTATACTGAAAGGAATATCTGTTTTATAGAGTACAACCAATATTCGATACCTTTCAAGCATTATCGTTGTATGTAATGCTTCAATGAAGAAAATGTTTTCAATTAATCGAGGCACTTTAAGGATTTTGACGCGGAATTGAGAAAGATCTCTGATATTTTGCATTGAAAAATGTTCGAACTGAACACGACCATGTTATTTACAAGTACGGAAGAGCAGTATTAGCATGTGTAACCGGAAAGACGATTGAGTGAATAATACACGTCGTCGTCCTTCAATTTTCCCGTTGTTTCGGATAAATTTTCATTAACGCGAATACGAAATTAAATCGTGTCGAGCCGTTTTACTGCAGTATACCGTTAGTTTTTTACGACCAATGAGAGGATAACGTGAAAAAAATGGCTTGTTTTGTCTTCTTTGACCATGACATGATTTTTCAAAATCGAATTGTAAATCGATGGTATGCACTATGCGAATACTTTAAAGCAATCTTTGCTAATGATATATAGGAGAAACAAAGTGACAAGCGTTTAATTAAAAGTACCTTAGAATTAATTAATTTACCACTCGCTCCTGTTTGATCACGTTTTACGGTTTCTTTTAACGATGTAGAGGAAAGAAATACGAGCATACACAAATTATTTATATAAGGCAGCGTACAAGACGAACGATTTAAAAGTGGAAAAAAAAAAGTGGCGTAAACGATGTTAATATTTCTGTATTTCAGATTCTCTTCTGTAGGTTTCATTAAAGTGCATTTCTTGTATGTTACACAGTATTATGGTAGAATATAAGAGAATAAATACTGCAATAGCAGCCTGGTCCTACTTCAATTATTTTCCAAAA